ATGTTGCAAACTGCCAGCTCAGAGGCCTGCAGGGGCAGGCAGGGAACGTTGGAGTCCTCCATCACTGAAGCAAGCAGGTCTCATGTTAGTTTCAAGCTGCCTGGCTGCCGGCTGCTGCCGGCCGCCATTTTGGCTGGCAGTTAATTTGCATATCGCTCTGATTAGCCAATGGGAAGGGTAGCGGATGTATGGCTAATTACCATGTTTCTCTTTTATTAGATAGGATTATTGACTGTATTCCCTATGCTGTACTTTACATCCCTGTGACTATTGTGTAACTACCGATCTGTACTTCTCAATCACTTCACTTTTTTCACCCAGCCCCCCTACCCCCATGCAACCACCAGTCTGTTTGTATATTTCCTAAAGGATTTACTTGAAAGCATATTGCGGTCCAGATTTATCATGAAGTCATGGGCGTGACTTGAACTTGAGCTCATGTCAGGACCCCATTGAGGCCTTATTAAGCCCACACTGCTGGGCCCCACCCCTGGGTGATGCTTAGGTTTGAGGGGGAGCCTGAAACTGTGCATTTCTAACCTAATCCTCCAGTGGCCCTTGTGTGCGTCACACATACTTTGATTATCTCTGCCTGAAATGTCTCCCTTCCTTCTTTGCTCAAGACAAATATGACGGATCTTCAGGGCCTAATTTTGTTTACACCTTCAGGAAGCTTTCTCTAGCCCTCTTGTCTACAGGAAGATTCTAAATAGTACTTTTATCTGTCTACACCCGATACTTGACAATAGGAAAATATTCCTTCTAGTGTGAGTTAATATTTACCTTTTAGTGTTATTTGATAGTTTCGTGTGTGTGTGTGTGTGTGTGTACCTGTATATCTATATCAAATCTCATTCTGCCTGTCTGTCTATCTATTTTAGTCAATTCGGGCTGCTATAGCAAAAATACTTTGATTGAGTGGCTTGTAAACAACAGAAATTTATTTCCCGCAGCTGTGGAGGGTGGGTTGCCAGGTTCTGGTGAGAGCCCTCTTCCACAGACTGCTGGCTGCACGACTCTTAAAGGACACTAATCCCACTTGTGAGAGTTCCACTCTCATGACCTCATCTAATCCTGATCACCTCCCCAAAGGTCCTGTCTCCTCACCATCTCACGGTAGGGGGTAAGGTTTCAATCTAGAAGTTTTGTTTTTTTGGGGGGGCGGGGACACACAAACATTCAGTCCATAGCACTCTCTAATCTTTCCCTCATGCCAAGAAAGATTTAAAGTTCTTAGTGATAGAAACTGGGGCTTATACTCTGAACATTTTAGTGATACTGATGTAGTTATCAATACACATTTTATATCCCATCTTAATTATGATGTATTATTAAATAAAACTTTTCATTTGGAAATCTCATTTCTTTCTGCATATCACTGAATGTCTCTTAGGCAACTATGTTTGGTTTCTGATCCATATTCCTTTTTTCTAAACATCAAAAACTCCTCTAGAAATTGCCCAGCATTAATCTCACCATTTTCTCTTTATAGCATTTTTCTTTGTTTTCCTTAGCTTTTGTAAATTTAGTTTTCATTGAGTGTGTAGTGGTCTTTTTTTAATCCATTATCTCTGCATACCACTGTACAATATGAAATACAGTTGGATCTGAGTAAATGCCGATTAAGATCCCTTTTAATAACCCAATGTTGCTGTGGGGGCATCAAAACCCTGCTCAGGGCTTTAAAAGGAGGCAGTGCGTGGGCTGCCTGGTGTGACGCTCTGTTCCAAAATGTACACTTGCCTTATCTTAGGTCATGAAAAGTGGAGTCCAAAATGTTTGTGATCACACCTGGGACCCGGTCACTCTGTTGCACAGAAACACTGTGACCCCAGCCACCAGAGAGCCAGTTGGCAGAGGAAACGTACAGCAGCTGAGAAGCTGTGTATAAACACAGCTGTGGCCTCCGACAGGTAGAAGACAGTGCAGCAGAATTGGGTTTCTTGGGTTCTGCTGATGGTTATG